CCGGCGGCCCCGGGAGCAGTGAGCGCAGCTGTGGCGATGACCTTCTGCGGGGAGCCGGAGCCACGCTCGCCCCCTCCCTCTCTTGCAGAAAGTCAAACAAGTCAGTGAGGAAATTGAGAACTTAAACAAAACAAAAAAAAAGGCGCGCAACAGCAAACCCTGCTTCCGTGTGTGGATGGTTTCTGGGCTGATCAGCATCACCCAAAGGAAAAGTTTGGTGACGCCCGGGGAGCGGACGTGCTTTTCCAGCGGGACGCGGGCACTGGCTTGGTGAAGCGCGGGCAGACCCCCAGCCCCTGCCCAGCGCACCTGACCCCGCCGGCTCGGGGCTTTGTGGGGCACGGGGCTGCTTGCCTGCCTCAGACAACGGAGGTTCGGGACTGAGATTTAAGCCAGAACTGTTTCCTGTTTATTTATTTATTGAGAGGAGAGCGTTTTTCTTTTACAGCATCATCTGTTTTGAAGAAAGGAGGGAGGAAAGGGGAGGGTTAAAGCTAAAGAAATAAGCCCTCTCTCTGAAGGAAATGCCTCTTGTGCTCTCCAGGTGACCTTTTCTGAAAATGTAGCCTCTCCAGTTGACTGATTTTTATTTTGACTACAAAGTGTATGAAACTGAGCCCTAACTTCTCCACAAACCCTAGGATGTTCACTTCTGGGATTAGCAATATGGGGCATCTGTTGTCGCCTCTCCTCTTGAGCCTGGCAGCAGTTTTTTCCAAAGGTAAGGCTCAGTCTCTTCTGTCTGTTTCACTGCTTCTGTTTCTTGTTTATTTTGCATACACAGCCTCTGTCCCCTAGCTCTGTAATGCCTTGAATGTTGATACCCACAACTCGTGAGCGAAAGACTTGGGGGGAGCCATGTGCTAGTAAAAAACAAAGGTATCGTGATGGGAAACCCTGACTGGTAGGGTTTTTCCTTAGCTGACTGTGACAAACAGCCTACTCATTTACTGAGGCATTTGTTACTTGCCTATTGTGCTTTTGATCATGTAGCAGATGCTGGTGATGAGCTGAGCTGGTATCCAACCAGCTTTGAATTGCAAAGGGTTTGTTATTTGGAAATTTGAAATTTTCAAAGATCTGAGCTATTGGAATTAGCTGCCCTCCCATTATCTTCTATGTAATTTTTCAAGTTAAAGATCCTGTATCTCAGACTGGCTGACAATGTTTTAGTGGACCAGGGAAATACGTGCTTAGTGAAATGTTTAAAAGCTGCGATGAGAGCCTGAGACTGTGATCAAGTATCTGATATTCTGCATGCTGAACAGAGTTTGAATGTCCTGACAGCACGACTTCAGACGACTCAGTGATACCTTCCAGTGTGTTTACAGTAAGAATCAGAAAACCATATTACAATGCACACATTTTTGTGTGCATTTAAATCACCCTTTGAACTGAAAGTTTTCATTGATGGCCTCAGCCAAAAGGTGAATGCATTTTTGCAGTATTTAATTTAGATGATTCTGAACATTCCTGTGGGATATAAATTAGGAGAATACACATTTCTACTGAGAAGACATCATGCACAACAGCTGTATTTTGGCAGGAAAACAAAATTAAAGTTCACAAATGGTTAGTGTTCAGAGAGGAGTAATAGCATATGCATTTAATCTGTGTTTTTTCAAACATACTGATAAAGAGTTCTGCTTATAAGCATCACTGTTTAAAAAGCTATTGGTTATTCTTAACCCCTCTTTACACTTCCAGATTTCTTCTTTCTTGAGTTATTTTTTCTAATTACTTTGTATCCCGAACCGAACTTACTGACAGAAGGAATAATGCCCAGCTATTTATTTCTGTGGTGGTTCCATGTGTCAAATTCACTTCTCATTTTTTCCTTAGAACAGGTTAAGAAAGAAAGGAACAAAATTATAAGTCTCCTCAAGTGTTACCTAAATGCAGTGCCTACATAAGTACAGTTTTAAAGTTGCATTTGGAAATGCATTAGCAGCAGGGATTGGGACTCTGAGTCTTTTCAAAAGATTGCTTCATTCACAGTGCACACCAGTAGCTTTTGATTTCCCAGCTAGCTTGTAAATTATGTATTTTATTATAAGCAATATCAGTACTTTGGATAGGCTAACAATGCAGTGAGAATGTTAACTTTTTAATCTTATACTTTTGCTGTGTTTTAGTTTGCAACCTTAACATTGCATTAGCATAATGTTTGACACAGATTGCAGTTTATTCCAAGATTGGAATGTAAGTGGCATTTCAGTCCTATAGAGTACAGTGTTTGTTTTATTGCCAGCTCAGCAATTATAACATTGATATATGATTTTATTCCGAAATGTTACTTACATGTCCTTTGAAAGATAAACATAGGCAGAAAATTAAACTTAGAAAGGAGGTCTCAGGTGGAAAAAAATGCTATAAAAACTGATGAGTGAGATTTTTCTACACATTGTGATTGTGAAGTCTCATTAAATCTGATAGGGCTTCAGACCAGGTACAGAAGATCCCGTTAGAATTACTGGTATTGTCTGTGCTATTTACTTTGTACTTCAGATTCCAATATACTACCGTGTGTTTGGTAGGACTCTCTCCTGTTTAGCAATACAGATATCCATCTTTAACGTAATTGTCTATTTCCATACTTGGTTGCAGACTCATTCTGTACTGCTGTGCCTTATACACTCTGAAAAGACCAGAGTGTTCCAGAGATTTACAGTATAAACTTTACAATGTAAAAGGTTGATTCCCTCTCACCCCATGAGAAGATGAAAACAACAAAAAATATCAAACTTCATTACTACTACAGGGCATGTTTCTTTGATGTCTTTCTGTTGTTAATAGAAAAAACTCTTTCATTTATTGACATGATGACAAAGTTTTCCTAAAGAGGTAAAGAATCTTTTAACATGCAACAGCAATCAGCTGTCTATTGTGTATAGGTCTGTTGCTGATTACTCAGAACCATGGCAATGCACCTTTTTACTGCACAATTTCCAAATCTTTCAGGTAATAACGTTGAAGACTTGAGAACAGTATTGCTGTTTTGCTTTGCTTTTATCTTGGAAATGCAGAAAATAACTCCAGCCTGAGAAATGAAGTGTTGTTTTCAATAATGAGCTCCATGTTCTTATCAGAACAATTTGTCACCGATGATATGATCCATGTATTTTAATATATTATCAGTCTAATTATATATATTTATAGGGGGGTGTGTGTGTACATATGTATATATAGACAAAGGACAGAGATTATAAGGCTGTGTAACTGTAGTTATGGGAGCAGTTGCATTTCAGAGCTTTGTTTTCAAGTGGGAGTTTTCTTGAGTCAGTCCTGGGGGGCCAGTGCTTACCCTCAGTCAGTTGGGCATTTTGCTATTTGGCATCAACTATGAAAAAAATTTTTCAGAAATCTTCAGTTAAAAAATAACCAAACCCAGTTGACGTTAATGAAAACACAGACTAATGCAACAGGCACAATAATGTGGACATTTTGTTCCCTTATTTAAAGGGAAAACCTCTCATTAGCTTCACTGGAGTAGAATAAAATCTTTAATACTTGACTTGAACACCAGGTTCCATTCTTGGCTTCAGTCTATATTGAACTGAGCATCTCTTGTAAGATGCTGAACAATTTTAGAATGGGTATTGTGAGACTTAAGATTCAGAAGCCTTGTACATTATGAATGTTTGTTATCAGATAAAACACTTGTTTTAATTAATTTCAAATTTCAGGTCTAAGTTGACAGTAACAAAACAAGTGAATATTTTAGTGACTTTTTCTGCCTGCGTTCTGCTGAGCATTCTGGGCTGAAATCTTCCCACAAGTCACTTTCTAATGAGATTTCAGGCCACATAGCTGCTGTTTTGATTTTCTTTTTCTCTCAGTGTTTATTAATGCGGAGTCTTGGCAACTGTATTAGACAGGATTACCTTCTATACCCCGAGAGAGTTCCCCATGGCTAAAGATGTGGGTAGTACTTTTGCAGTGATGCCAATCTTCTATTATAGGAAAGTATGCGTGGGAAAATCTTCCAGAAACCAAAGCCCCAAACATTTAGTTTTGGTTACATTATAGGAGAGAAGTACCTGGATATTTGGATTTCAATTGCCTCTGTTTCCTTTGGAGTTATCCATGTTACAGTGTTCTGTGAATGCTCTTGATTTCCATTTAATCTCATCCTGTAGGTTTTTTTTTTTTTTTTTGTCTCGCTATAGACAAACTCTGTCTTTCTTTAAGCAATTTTACTGGTTCCATGATGATACTTAGTATCAGAAGATGTCATGCTGTGCACATTGCCAAAATACTTCACTGAGTATTTCAGTGGTTTATATCTTTGTGAACTGTAGTTGTATAATAAGCCACTTTCCTTCACTTTAATCTCACTTATGCATCCACTGGCTTCAGTGGGGGTAGTGTTGTACAAAGAACTGCATAGCTGTGCTTGTTAAGTGCATCCACTGGCTTCAGTGGGGGTAGTGTACAAAGAACTGCATAGCTGTGCTTGTTAATTATGTTCCATCTTCTGGGTGGCTGTGGGCCATTCCTGAAGATCTTTATGTGCAGATATTCCACTGACACTGAAGTGCACTGTGGACTTAATGTAAGTAGAAACATGGAAAATGAAAAGCTGAGGGGTGCCACAACCTGTGTTTCAGCACTACTTACTTTGGACTTCATTACTGTAGAACACTGGTAGTATATTAAGAATGGAAAATAGCGCTGTATGTGGGATTAAAATTGAAGTTTATTTTATTTAAGACATAGATTATTTTTTTCCCCTCCTTTTTGGTGGTGACTAGACAGGAGTTCAGGGTTGAATGTCAGTTCATGTAACCAGATTTTGATTGTGATGATGAGGGACACATTCTTTTCCTCAAACAGTGCTGACATTACTTGTGGATGGGCTCATCACAAGCACCTGTCGCTCTAGCTGTGCGATTGGTACGTATAGAAAATTTACTGTGTGCTGATTTCAGAGGACAACTACTTAGATGAACATAAAATAAGTGCTGTCAGTAAGAGTTTTTCTTGTAAGCATTGCCTATGTTTAGAAACCCAAAAAGTTTTGTTAAAAACCCAAAAGATGAAATCTTGCTAGCTTAAGGTTCAAGCTGTTCCCATAAAACCGAAGTTTTTGTACTTTGTCCCAGCTGTATTGAATTTACAGTCATTTGAGATATTATACAAGTGAAAGGGAAACTAAGTTGCACTTTTTTGCTCTTCTTGTGTTTCTTGACACAGCATACTTCTGGGAGAAGCTCCATTCTGCTTTCTTTTCTTTCAGTAAAATAATAAATTCAGACTAAACTAAAAAATTCTACAGCCAGACCCATGTTTTATTTGTCAGCTGCAATACTGGCTTAATGTGATTTGGTTTCTAATATTTCCCTGTAATGATTTTTTTACTTCTGTCTTTTCTTTTATTAGTTCCACAGGACTGGGGGGCTCTGTGACACCAACCAGTGTTTTAGATATTAATAAAAGCAGCTTTATTCAATAAAGATTGGTTTTATTTAATAAAAGAAAGAATCAAAAGATAATCTGATTTTTATGCTGCGTTCGCATTAAATCAGCCTCCTGGGGTTGTTGTGGATGTCAAGTCTAGTGGTAGTCTATCATGGGTCCTGGGATACATAAACATGACTCCAGACAGATTGATTGCAGAGAAGCTGAAGAGGCAGCTGAGATTCATCGCAGGTTTGGTTTATAAAGTGTTACATTAAATTACTTGATTTTCAGCAGTCTTTGTAATATTGTCTGCTGCAT